TAAAGATGTGGTGTAGCTTCACATGTTCTGCTACCATCTTATTGGCAATATTGAGGCATTAACTTTATATAAAACTCTGGGCAGCTGGAATTTACCTTCATTTTCTTAAACTCTTTTTTAGAGTAATTTGATTGTTGCTAAACATGTTTGATGATATCCCGCAGCTTAGGTAATGATTATGTTGCTATAGAATCTCAACAGCAGTAGGATCCTCTATTGAACCAATTATGACAATCTGAGAACAAGAACAGGAACACGTGAAGTTGTTCTAAAGTATTGCAGTTAGTCCTGTAAGATGTAATTTTGATTAAATAAAGCAACTGAGATACAAAAATTGAAGTTCTCAAGAATAATCTCCAAATTTCATGCTAAAGTCGATATCTAGTAATCTACCAAGCCCATTCCGTGTATATCTATGCAATTATTCCCTCTTTTGGTGGTCAAAAATGCTAATTGTCATAGTTTAATCAAGTGAATAAACATTTAATTGTCTTAATGCATAGGTGTCCTATTTGCTGATTTGGAGATCCGAGGCAATACCTTAATATCAAATATCATCTATTTATGGAAATGTTAGCACACCCATTTCCAAGCACAATATCGTGCTAAAGTTGCTTGAATTCCTCCTAGTTGACTGATACATACATACATACATGTTTTAAGCATGTGGTAAATCAATTTTGCACTCTAACCGTAAACATCATGTCTATGGCCTATTGCTCCCCCCCCCCCCCCCCCCCCCCCACCACGCTATATTTCATACCTGTCACAGCTTCCCTTGGTTGAAGCCTCTCTTTTGTTAGATAAGTGATTGGTTGGAGGGCAGGTTGTGTTAATGTAAAGTGATTGAAGCCTCTCTTAAGAATTCTTCAATTTTTTATTTATTTTTGTTGTCGTGTTCAAATTGTCTTCCAGTTGTTATTTTTCTTGGACATTTCATTTCCATTTTCTTTTTCGTATGTATGCACTATATTTCCTCGATGTGATATATTTTCTTTGATGCTCAGACTCTTCGAAACGACCGAAATATCTGTGCCGACACGACACGGGTACGGAAATGAGATATATGCCGGATCCTCCAAGTTTCAATCGAACACGGCGTCTTTTTACTTCTTTATTTTGCTTCTTTATTTTTTCTTTCCTTTTTCTTCTTTCTCATTTTTGCTCTCTGTAAACCTAGTGCCGCCATCAAGATGGTGGAGAAAGTCATTGGCGTTAGGTTTTCCCTTCTCTTCTTTTTTTTCCCCCTTCTTTCATACTCCATATCGGTGATTTATGGTTTTGCTTGTATAAAATAAAATTAGATACCAATAATGCTACTTAGTACTCCACTAAGTTCAAATTTTAATCAAGCCCCTCATCTTCTATTTATATAACATTGAGTAATTAATTTCCTACAATTGAAATCTAAACTCCAATATTCTATTTCAGTCGTTTTAACTTCTAATTTAATACTCATTTCCTTCTTTATGAATAGTTGATTTTGGCCTATTGAAAATGTCATCTTAAGTTAGTAAAAAAATTGAAGTAAAAGATGTATTCATGTATTTGTGTCCAAAATTTTTACTCATTTTATTCATGTTCTTGTATCCTACATTTCAGAAAATAAAAGATTTGTCACTTGAATACGTATTCATACTTGAGTTCAAGCCTCATAGTATAATTTAAGCCTTTCCTATTTTTTGTAAATATATTGCCTCTATTTGGTTTAGATAAAAATAAGATGTTTAGTAGATTTTGATAAAAATTGTTGGAAGGTGTGATTGAAAAGTTGTGAATTTCATGAAATATACGTTCAAACTTTATTGCTGACTTTGATTTGGATTTTAATCTAATTTCTTAGTTGAACCAAACATGGCCATAAACTTGTCCCCATTCGTTTCTTGGCACGAGCTTCTACCCATTTTTTCAGTTTTTTAAAGAAACTTGTTAAGCAATCAAGCCTTTGGCATTGAGTTGCTGAACTCACTAGCAATTTAGTTTCCGAAATTTGTTGATGATCTTTCTTTTTCAGTTAATCATATTGAAATTACAATAAATGCGTTCTATATTATTTATAGATATTCTATTGATAGCTCGACAAAGTAACAAGCTAGTAAAGACTTTTCCTTTTCTTGTTTCAAGTTTAACCATAGAGTTGTGGCCTTCGGCCCTTTCCTATTTCCCTCTTTTCTATGTGCCATGTGATTATTTCGTCCATATCCACTTTTCTTTTTCTTGCTTCAAGTTTAACTACGGAGTTGTAGCATTCCGTCGTTTCCTATTTCCTCTTTTCTATGTGACATGAGATTATTTTATCCATATCACTCGGTAGTTTTGCACATGGGGAAAGCCCCTTGTCTAGGGCCACATAGGCCTTGGACAAACAGGGGACACATTGGCCTTGGACGTCAAGTAGGCCCCTTTGATACTTATAAACTCATTACGTACCTATATTTGATACGTATTCAAGCTTCGATATCCTTCTATACCTACTGGATACATTTTTTAATTATTTTATATTTTTAAAATTTTCGATACATATCATATACGCATTTTTGAATTATCTTCAATATGTATCCGATACATATCAAATATATATTTTTTGATTATTAATAATATTTATTGAAAATACACTATTATAGTTTTAAATTAATTAACAACTAAACTTTTTATTGGAAATACAAAGTAATATTTAATCTTTCAGTAAATGTTGAAGAAAATGAAGTTTAGAAAATTAAGAATTAAGATAAAATGCTTTAGTATTTTATTTTTATTATTATGTTTCTGTTTTAATTTTTTGATGTTCGTGAAATTATTTTAAATTTTATAACACGTATCCGTGTATCTTAATTTTTAAAAAAAAAAGTCATATTGACGTAGCCGTATCATATCGTATCGTATTCGAATTACGTATTCGTATACGTGCTTAACTTGTATTTACAATTCACTTCCTTCGTGAACGTATATTAAGCATGAGATGATATGTTTGAGAGAATGTTGCCATCATTTTGGCTGTTAGCAATGATGTATTGCGCATTTACTGATGGGTTTCTAATTTTAGAAAGGAGATTTTTTCTTTATCGACTTATTTCATATTCATTGATCTATATTAATTTTTCGTTTTATATCTACAAGATGTATAATTATTTTGCTTGAATTCCAGCCAGATGCAGATGTGATCTCAAGCATTTATTGTGCTCTGGAAGCAATTCATGCAGCTTTGGCTATCATGGCTCATAATGGCATGCCTAAGATGCTTTATAAAGAAGAGGTATGATGTTCTTGGTACTAAAAAATTCTCCGAGTATGTGAAATTATTAAGCTTTGTGAGTAATTATGGTCTAATTGTTTCAGAATATTGAAAGAATTCTGGAGTTCTCAAGGCATCAAATCATGGATGTTATGTTCACATGTGATCCAGTTTATCGTGCTTTGCATAAACCAAACAATGATGGGGCTCCTGAAGGCATGTCATTCTGCTTTCTCATTTAACTTACTGTTACTTCAGTCACTATATCATATTATATAGATTGCTCTAATATCCGTCAAGAGTAACCACTCAATTGCCACGGTCCTTCTCTATTGTCTTGTGTTTGTTCCATCTCCCCTTCTCATGAATGTAGAGCAAGACTACATTTGCCCCGACCCCCCCTCCCTCCCGTAGTTGTTCCTTTCTGGAGGGGAACCTGATAAGTTATTTTCCCTATCTTGCATGCATACATTGTGCTCCTGTTGTATTCTCCTATTGGAGTGAGGTTCTTTACAGTGTGGATTTTTGCCTGAATTATAATGTTAGGTTGTCCATCTAGTAGTAAGGCCATTTCCCCCCTCAGGAACTTAGCTTTATAGCCACATCATGTGGTATTAGATAAGTATGTTCTGCTGACTGGTAGACCCACGTTCATGTAGCTATTATAGAGTTTGGGCCTTAGAATACTTCAGTGATGGAGTTAAAAGGCTAAGAAGTTGCATGGGTAATTTTCTTCACTATCTTGCGCCAAGTCTTTCCTCTACTTCGGTTTTGTTTTCATACTTATGTAAGACTAGAAGAAACTGCTATTTATATTCTCTGTTGAAGTCAATCGGAGTTTGAGTTTCTGGAGGTTCTAGAGAAACTTTACTAAAAAGGGTGGGCCTTATGTATAGGTTTTCTTAAGGGAAAAAAGGCCTTATTTGTCTATACAAAGATCTGCTTACCAAATTTGTATCTTTATAAATCAAGTGGGTACATGTCAATTTCAGTAAGGTAAGTATAAGGGGTGAGGGTTTACATAATGACTTCATTTTTGTAGTGCCTTACCTTGCAGCTCTACCTATCGTTTGTGCTTTCGTATAAAAATGATTTTTTAGCGATCTCATACTTTCTTTCTATATGCCACGGATTTAGATTGGCAAATAATTTCTATCTGCTAATCTTCTACTTAATTTGCATTTTGAATATCAGATGGGGAAGATGAAGAACTTGGTGATCTTGGTTCAGCAAGCAAGAAAAGACGCACTTCAATTGGTGCAAAAGTCAGGAAATCAAGAACAAGCAGGTATCATTTCATTTATTACCTATCTCTGTAATTATGACCTAATTTAGTTATTGAAGACCTTTTTTTTTCTTCATTCCTTGTTATGTAATATTTGTTTTCCCATTAGGATGTCTTCTGTCGCGAATGTTGTACTTCAGAAGCTGTGCACAATTCTCAGTTTTCTCAAGGACTTGCTATCGATAGAGCGCTTATCAGATAGTTGCATTCTTCAACTTTTGAGAGTTAGTTTACAGACATTACTGGTTGACAATATCCAGGTTTTGCAGCTGAAGGCAATCGGTTTAATTGGTGGGGTAATACGATCTGCTCATGCCGTTCATTTTACTGTTCTATTTTCAATGATATGTAGCTGGCGTCTGTGTTAAATTGCATGGCATGATTATGATTCGTTATGCAGATATACCACACTTACACTCAACATCGAGCTTATGTGATGGATGAAACTCTTCAAGTCCTTTTGAAGTTACCATTCTCGAAGCGTGTACCAAGGGCTTATCATCTTCCCGATGAAGAACAGAGGCAGATTCAGTTAATCACTGCTCTATTGATTCAAGTGGTCCACTACAGTGCAAATCTTCCCGAAGTTCTTAGGGGAGCATTGAGAAATTCTTCACTAGAAATCTCAATTGATGCTGAATTCCCTACAAAATGCCATGAAGCAGTCACTGAGTCTTGCTGTCTCTTCTGGAGTCGAGTACTTCAGCGATATACTGGCACCAAAACCCAGGATGCATCTGAGCTGAAGATAATGATGGAGAATATTGTAATGGACTTGCTGACAACCTTGAACTTACCTGAGTATCCTGCTTCGGGTCCTATTTTAGAGGTACCTTTTTTATAGTTAACGCTTGGATTGACTACATCAATTTTATGTTAATAATTAGTGTTTTGCAGGTTCTTTGTGTCTTGCTCCTGCAGAATGCTGGGCCCAAATCGAAGGATACTGCTGCTCGTACAATGGCCATTGACCTTCTCGGCACAATTGCTGCAAGGTTGAAACATGATGCTGTCCTTTACAGGAAGGAAAAATTTTGGATTGTACCGGAGTTTATAAGCGTTGACAGTGTCGATCCCGACCATCCAGGCGATGCTTGTTCTGTTTGTATGGACACAAGGATTGAAAAATCATTGTTTGTATGCGAAGGTTGTGAAAAACCTTTTCATGTTGATTGTATAGGAGGAAGAGAGCAAGAAGTTCCTTCTCGCAATTCCTATTGTCAGATCTGTATCTGTGAGAAGCAACTTCTCGTCTTAAAAACGTACGGTGAGAATCAAGGCCAGGATGGCCAGAAAAGCAATCGAAATCATTCTGGAAATTCTTCTCGTGCAGCAGATACAATTACGAAACAGGAGATTATGCAACAGATGCTTCTGAATTATTTGCAGGATGCAGGGTCCACCGGTGATCTGCACCTCTTTATCCGATGGTCTGTGATTAAATAAACATGTTTCAGTAATAAACTATTTTATCGTCTGTAACATCCAGTCTTGCAGGTTTTATCTTTGTCTATGGTACAAAGATGACCCTGGTTCTCAACAGAAGTTCTACTACTACCTTGCAAGGTTGAAGTCTAAAGAAATTATACACGACTCTTGTTCACGCTTATCCTTTCTGACTAGGGATTCAGTGAAAAAAATTACTTTGGCGTTGGGACAAAATAGTTCCTTTGCTCGAGGATTTGACAAGATTCTTCAAATGCTCCTGGTTAGTGAAATACCAATTCCTGCTTAAGACTGGAAACTGAATATTTGGAAACCGAATATTTAATTCTTATTGCTTAATTGTTTATAGGCAAGTCTGAGGGAGAACTCACCAGTGATTCGTGCCAAGGCATTGCGTGCGGTATGTGGGAAGCACATTTGTCAGCCACACAGCTGCCTTTTCTTTATTTTTTATCTTTCCTTTATTTCTATTTATTGTGTGTGTGAGGTGGAGGTGTCTGTTACTATTGAAGACTTACCTCATTCATTGATTAATATGCAACAAGAACAGGTTAGTATCATTGTTGAAGCAGATCCCGAGGTTTTATGCGATAAGATTGTACAGACAGCTGTTGAAGGGAGATTTTGTGACTCTGCTATATCCGTTAGAGAAGCCGCACTTGAACTTGTTGGTCGTCATATTGCTTCACATCCTGATGTTGGTCTAAAGGTATTTCAGTTGCCTGTGCTCATTTGTATACCTGTCATGGTAGGACTATTTTTAAGTTTTATCTGTTTGTCCGTCTTTGGATTTTTTAGTATTTTGAGAAGGTGGCAGAAAGAATAAAGGACACTGGAATAAGTGTTCGGAAACGAGCTATCAAAATTATCAGGGACATGTGTACCTCTAGTTCTGATTTTTCAGAATTTACCACTGCTTGTGTCGAGATAATTTCCCGCATCAATGATGAAGAAGCCAGCGTACAGGTAATTCAGCTGAATATTCAGTACTTTAGGCTCTTGGTTTTTCGATATCTGTACTGAGCTTTACTTTCTGTCATGCGTGGAGCACCACTTCTTTTTCTGGTGGAGGGTGTCTAATAATAAAAAAGTATCAAACAGAAAGATTTAGCTACCAAGATTTTTAAAAAAAATTTCTGCTGGTAATTTTGACATGGATCTAGTATATACTTGACTGGATCTATGTAGTAAAGAGATCATATTGATAGTAATGCCATAAAGATATGTGGTATCCACTGATAGTTTAACAAGATGGCATTTCTGTGATTAGTATTTCGATCATATGTTGTCGAAATCAAGCATGCATCTCTCTCTCTCTCTCTCTCTCTCTTCCCATATTTGGTAGTTTTTTTCCTCTCCTTTTTCTTTCTTTTTTATTTTGGGGTATGGGGGTGTGGTGCTCAAGGAAAGCATTTGATGAATGTCGCTCAGAGATGGGAATGTGGTCATATGAACACATTTTGATTATGGATGAGACCAAAAAATTTATTTGCTATTCTTCCGTGATGCAGATGCGAGTACTATGCTAAAATTTTAGGTGTCGTCCTCCTTCACTTTTAGATTGTAATGTGCAATGTGAATGTTTTTAACGATTTTTATATGCATTATGTTCCATTTGGAGGTAGTTTTAGATGTAATTCTCCTCCTCCGCTTGTAGGACCTTGTTTGCAAGACATTTTATGAGTTTTGGTTTGAGGAGCATTCTAGCTCGCAGAGCCATCTTTATAAAGATGGTAGTTGTGTCCCATTGGAAGTTACTAAAAAGACAGAGCAGGTTGTTGACATGTTGCGAAGGCTGTCCAGTCACCAACCTCTTGTGACTGTCATTAAACGCATCTTAACCCTTGATTTCTTCCCGCAATCTGCTAAAGCTGTTGGGGTCAACCCTGTGTTGCTTGCTTCAGTACGCCATCGCTGCGAGTTAATGTGCAAATGTTTGTTGGAAAAAATATTGCAGGTATTGAATTTGCTAAATATAATGCTTAATATTTTGCTTCAAGTTCCTTGCATCTGATTGTGTTAATTATTTTCCTATGAAAGACCACCAAGGGGGTGCATCTGAGTCACATTGAAAAAAAAAAAAAATTGAAAAAATAAAATAAAATGGTGGTCATACCTTTTTTTAATACATCTATTCAGTTAATATATCAATTGAAACAAAGAAGACAAGGAACTAAAAAAAAATTGCAATGCGTTGAAAGTGGGTGCTCAATTCTGTCAAGTATCCTCCTATTCATGTTGTTTTGAGAACGTAAAAGATTTACATAGAGAAGCTTCACTGATGTGATCGGACCACTGTCCTCTTACACCACTCCAGTGGGAAAATGTTCTTCACTTGGCAGAGCATTACTCTTTTCCTACTAACCTAACAGATGAAAATAATGATGCCAAATCTCCTTTTTGAATAAAATTTTAAGAATTATATATATATTTGGACTTCCCTATCATTCGGACAACACAAACACCATTTTACTTCTATTTTCTCATATTATCTTATGGTCCTCCAGGTTTCCGAAATGAGCAGCGAGGAAGGAGAAGGGCACATGATTCCCTATGTTCTGCTCTTGCATGCCTTTTGTCTTGTGGATCCTACACTATGTGCACCAGCTTCTGATCCTTCCCAGTTTGTGGTCACCCTACAACCATATCTGAAGAGTCAGGTCATTCACATTTTACCATACAGTTTACTCGCATAGCAGTTCTATTTCTTTTAAATTTAGCGTTTCATGAAGGGAGTTCTTCCTAGTTCCACACATGCATTCAAGTTGATTAATCTGTGTATAGTCGTGTCATGCATTTTGCAGTTATAAATTGTTTTTTTCAAATATATTTTTGGTTGGTTCTTCTTGTTGAACTTTCTTTTTGGAAAATATTCGGGGAAGCTTGAATAAAATTGCCAACGACTTGAGACGGTTTTCCCTTCTTACAGTCGGACAATCAAGTATCTGCACGGCTGCTGGAGAGTATTATATTCATAATTGATTCTGTCTTGCCCTTGATGCGGAAATTTCCTCAAAGTGTTGCTGTAGAGCTTGAACAAGATTTAAAGCAAATGATTGTCAGGCATTCTTTTTTGACAATTGTCCATGCTTGCATCAAGTATGTTGCTTTCTCTTTGATACTTTTATTTGTTGTTGCTACTGTTTAACACTGCATTTCATAAAAATGATTCACTCGTCATATGTCCTCTTTAGAATCATTGAGTTTTGACTGCATGTCCCGTTATATATTTCTTTTATGATGATGGAAAGTTATATGGCAAGTAAACTGATTTTTGGTAGATCCTTCTATCTCTTTTTCCATCTTTTTCTGGAGAGATTTTATTCTATTATTTCTTTTCTTCTTTTTGGAAAGGTAGGGCAAGCAATTAGTTGTAAAAGTAAAAATGTCTTGTTGCTCTACTTTTTTAACTTGTATTCGCGATTTAGAATATTTATTGTAGCAGGCATATATCTATAGAGTGAAGTATGAAAGAGTATCCAGGTGATAACAGAACGTTTATATTTGGTCTTGTATTGTATGAAGTTATAAAGTATAATTGTAAGGGTTTACGGTAAAGCATTATTATTGATCAAACATGATATATACACCCTTTTTGGATAAGTAATTTCACCATGAAAGGTGAAGTCAAGTTGAACAGATGGAGAAACTTGTGCAACTAAGTGTCCTCACTGCAGCTATTTGTATTTTTTATGTGGCTCTCTTTTCCTCTGCATGAGGAAATGGATAGAAACTTCTGATTTTAGTGGATATATTGGTGATTTGCAATATAGAAATTTGCTACGAGTTTTGGTTAGAATGCTGCTGCTGTTGGCATTTTAAATTTTTTTTACCGCTACCACTGGGGCCTGCATGCTTGTTTACAAATTCGAACTTCATGATCTTGCTTGCTTTGAGATAAATACTACTAGTAGTTTTGATGAGACTCTAAATCCTTCTCTTTCTTTTTGAGTCAATAGGTATTACAGTAGCAAGGGCACATGGTAGATGGTGGTCTGGGAATTTTAGATTTCTGTCCTCTATATTTCCCTCTCTTGAAAGATAACTAACACTTGTGCTGAATCTGGGAAGAGTTCTTAGATCCATTGGTTATACAATTCTTTTTCCGCTAATATTTCCATTTTTCATCCTTTACCCAAGTTTTTGATATTCATAAGTGGGGAAGTTGATATCTTTAGGTTTTGAGTTCTGATACTAGCTTCTAATATAATAGTTTTTGTACGGTTACAGAGCCATTCCACTGTTTTAGTACTTTCTTCAAGATGCTAGTGTCTAGTTTGATTTTCTGAATGTGATTACAAAATTCTGTTAATGTTTCCTAAGCATTCCATCTCCCAATGCAGGTGCTTGTGTTCAGTGAGCAAAGTAGCTGGAAAAGGTGCTGGTATTGTTGAATATCTTATTCAGTTATTCTACAAACGTCTAGATGCTCTTGGGTTCGATAACAAGCAGGTTGGTAGTTCCGTAATGAAATTTTATGATCTCTTAAATGTTAGCTTCTCAATGTTTGGCTAATTACACCTGTCGAGATCGAGAGAGAGAGACAAACTAATCTTCACTTGCAGTAATGAATTATCTGGTTTAAAATA